TGTGTGTGTCTTTTATTGATAGCAATGTGTATTTAGTGAATATAGGCATGCAACAGTTCTCAACAGCAAAGCATTATACACTGGATCTTAGTTTCTGTGTACAGTGCTGTGGAATATGCTGGCACTATTAAAAAAAATTATTATTTAGAAAAACATTTTTATGATTTTTATTTCTCACTGAGGTATTATTTTCATATAAAACTTTCAAAAAAACAGTGTATGAAAAATCATTATGCTGATTCCCTTATCTATTCTCTATAATTTCTGGCTTAGTGAATGATAATTCCCCTCCTCCGTGTGTCTCGTAATAGTGTCAAGGAGATACTATGTATGCCAAGGAAATAGAATGACATAGTTGACTTAAGAGTAGTGTGTAAAATATACATATATGCCTTACAACATCTAGTCCTATGACTGATGCATGGTGGAGGGCTTTGAAACCCGCAGCTTGTGTTTAAATCACTTGTTCCTGCCATTCACATGGGTACGTCAGGAGAACATAAAACAATGCTATGGGTACTGTAAATAGATTGTGGCATTCTGTTCTCAAATTGCTTCAGTCTGTTGTCAGCATTCCTAAAAAGCCAGTTGGTTTTATTACATCAGTAACAGAAAGAGCCACCAGCAGCTGGATGTGTGTATTCTTTTAACCTTACAGACACATTTTAATGGGGATTTTTTTGCAGAACTTATTTTAGTAAATGAAGAAAATCGATTAATGCACGGGACTGAGATTGGGTATGGAAGGCCAAACTAACATGAGGCTAAGCATTGTCTTTTTAAAACTTAACAGAGTAAGCCTGACAAACTATATACAGATAAAGTACGAGTGCATAATTATTATAAAGTTGTCTTCATGATTCCTTCATTACCAAAGCTGTGCATACAGGTTTTTACTTTTATTACGCTTTGCCAAGCAGTGTTAAATGAAATATAGCTCATGAAGTCTCAACAACATTCATTTTTAGCAAGAATTAAAGCTCAGTATATAGAGAAAATAAAATATAAAAAAAAAAGTAGAATTTTGTTCCTTTAGTTGATTGCAAGTGATCTTTATATAGCAGCCCATCTTTTCTCCTCTCATGCAGTAAGCAAACTTTTCTTTCTTCATATATTATCACACTCAGGGAGGGCAAAAGAGGGAGAAGCAGTATGTGGCTATTTTACGTCATGCTACATCTGATGGGCAAATGGGCACAGTGGGTTCTGCGGTAAACTAAGTAGTTAAGAGCATGGTTTAAGTATGTGACTATTCAACATAAACATGTGGCTATGCGATGCTAGCAACAAAAATTAATCCACTTTTGTCAAGTTTTGTCAACCTTGATTTTCACCATAGGATAAAGTAGCCCTACTTTATCTTATGAAATCATTTGACTGTGTTTGAATTTTAAAGAAATTCCAATGCAGTCAATAAGAATATATCATACAGATTTTATTGTGGTGAACGAGCAGCTTTAAAACTAGCAATGCTTGATAGTGAAGGTGTTAAAAAAAAGACATTATATATATCTTACCGTTAATCAATTTACCACATAATTCCTCTCCATAAAGTCATTTACCCCTGCCTCATTCCATGCTGTATCTTGCAGTTCAGCATAGAGCTATCTCACAGACCTTACATAACTTACACATTTATCTATGATCAATTTATATACTGACTCTTTCGCAACTGTTGCATGTTATGTTGAATTTGCAATGACAAGCTGCAAAAAGAAAGAAGTTGGTTAACTGTATTCAATGCGTGTTGCCGCAGTTTGTGTCATCACAAGAGGGGGTTTCACCTTTCTCATTCTGCATCAACATTATTTGTATGGTTAAGTGAGATTCTGTAGGTATGAGATAGTGAAGGGCTCCATTTTACATATTTAGTGGCATTTCCCAATGATTGCCCCGTATTGAAAGTAGTTCTTCATGAGAAAGATAATATCATTAGGTTCCCTTACATAGCCTCCAAAGCAGAGGCTCCTTTAGCTGTGCCTCAGGGTAAACTGAGAACATGCTATTCTATTTTTCTCTTAAATATATAAATTAAGTTTGGTCTGAATGGAATTCTCATTTTGTTGCCATATATCTTCCACGTATCTGTTGGTTGCAGACCCTTAGCCTATCCCTGCCGCTCCCATCCCATCTGATAATGTCTAGGTCTAACTTTAAAATTTTTGTTTATTTTTATTGAGTTGTACATTGTTACTTGCATTATTTTTTATACTGATTGGTAACAAACCATAGATAAAATGCATTGATAATTGCTCACTGATAGGAGTTGCGTGCAGATGATAATGCTCCACATGTAACAACATTTGTCTTTTTACCTGCATATGACATTCTTCTGTATTGTTACGATCTAAAATAAAAAGAAAATGTTGAAAGAAAAAAAAACACTTTAACACATAGTCTAAGCACCACAACATCTACAGCCTTTTGTAATGTGTCTTGTTTTTTAAGTGCACCTTTACAAACCACATGTTAGAGAAGATGACTTGCTAACAGGAGCTTAGGGTATCCATACAGTATGCTTCTTTTAGTATAATGTGGCAATGCAAAAAGGGATTATATGCTTAATATACCTATGCACAGCAGAAAAAAAATGAAGTTTGGCTGAATAAATTTGTCAGTTAATGCAGTTATATGAAGTTCATCTATTCCATTGAGAGATATTGCACTCATACACACTGATGGCAAGATAATGTGTTAAGGTAAGCCTTAGGTTAAATGTACCTCCAACATCACAAAAGCATATGTATTTAGAACTAAATGAGTGGAACATATGCTGATAGGAATGCATGAATGCAGTAAATTGTATTACAATAGTGCATCAAATATTAAAATGCATTGTTACCTGTAAACTCTGTTTTGAGAGCTGGTCAACTAGAAATGTTGAAGTGTTTGGCTCTATATCAGAACAGGTGATTTGTTCGTGGATTATAGTGTAATAAAACACCCAAATAGTGTTGGGTACACATTATATGGTACAATAGCATAATTATAAACAATATAATTGAAGGCAGTTGAGCTTGAATACAGAAGGCTGTTATTTAGCAATCATCTCTTTAAAGGTTTAATAAGCTCAGATTTACGCACACAATAAAAGCAATGCTCATTAGTGGATAAAGTGCTGCTTATTCACAAAATGTATATTCAATTGCTATGTAACAGCTAGAACCTGTTATGTGCATGAGCAATTATTTTGATAAAAACCTGTCGTAGGGAAAAATTTATTAAAATTAGTGTATGTATAAAAACAGAATCAACAAAAAGACCGCAGGCATTAGAAGAAAAAGGTGAATTATTGCAACTATTTGGTAGGGTGGTGAATCGGACATTATATAAGTAGACATTCACATTATCAAAACAACACAGTGGTTTTTTTTTTTACTAATATGCTCATGTGAAGTGTGTGGACATTGTCTGCTTTTCCCTTGTATGTGATATTTTGCTTAAATGTATCTAGTATAGCTATTTCAATTTCCTCTAGGGATTGTATCTTTACTCCTGATCCCCAGTATAGCAGAGATAACATGCTGCATGCATTATATATTAATATATATATATACACACATTAGTATTGCTCTAAATTAAGTGTACAATTTATAAATACAGGCTAAGTGAAAGGACAGCAGGCAGTACAAGCTGGTTAAATTAATGTAATTGATGTAAAGCTGTGACAAATATTTTAAATACAGAATGATCCTAAATCAGACTACATTTCCTTATGATTATTGCAGCTGCTAATGTACTTTGCTGATCTGAATACTGTATCTTCTGACGTTTCAACCAGCCTTAAATGCAGCAGATGGTTTAATTCTTGACAAGTGAAGGAAACAGATCAAAACACACATAATAAGAAATAGGCTTGAACAAGACAAAGTCATTCTTGTTTAGCCTCTTGTTTATTTACACACAGTGCAGTGAATGAGGTTGCAAATCACTTGAGATTCGGATATATACCCTTTAACCATAATTAGTGTCACAAGATAGTCACAATTACACTTTGGACGTCAAGCAACCAAGTATAGATACCAGTGTTGTAAGGTTCATATGTTTTTTTCCCCCAAGCATCCAGTTCATTAAAGGACCACTATAGTGCCAGGAAAACATACTTGTTTTCCTGGCACTATATTGCCCTGAGGGTGCCCCCACCCTCAGGGCCCCCCTCCCGCCGGGCTCTAGGGTGAGGAAGGGGTTAAAATCTTATCTTTTTCCAGCGCTGGGCTCCCTCGGCACTGGGGAATCTCCTCCTTCTTCTGCCGTCCTCGGCTGAATGCGCATGCACAGCAAGAGCTGCGCGCGCATTCAGCCAGTCTCATAGGAAAGCATTCTCAATTTCCTTTCCTATGGACGCTGGCGTCTTCTCACTGTGAAAATCACAGTGAGAAGTGCGGAAGCGCCTCTAGCGGCTGTCAATGACCAATTTTCTAATACTCTATATCAAACTACACTATCCCAAAATAGATGAGTTGAACAATGTAACATGGATTGTTTGGGAATCGATCCACTTGGAGATTCAGCTGCAAAGTCACATTGTTGAAGTATGGGCTGAATCTAAGCTATGCCTTCTTTAAAAGGTAGTTTAATAGATAGAATGTATCATTCTATTATGTAATAAACAGATACATTTCCTGGAAGAATTATGCATCATTACTGTACACACGAACACACTATTGCAAGTGACAAGTCACTTAGAAAAATCTTTGTCTATAGACCAATAGTAAAGTGGCACTCTAAGTACCATAACCACATCATCTTAATTTAGTAGTTTTGGTGCAAAGAGTCTATGGGTCACAATCCTTTATTTTCTGTCAAAAATAGGTTTTTGGTGGACATACCTTTACTCGCGGCAAAGTGGGTAGGGGTAGGAGGGTGGATTTAACCACCCTTTTATTAATATGGGGTATAGGTTGCTATCAGGGCATGACAACTGTGACAGATGTCATGGATCCTACAGTCCTGGGGGGCCCGGACTGATCTTGGAGACTGGAGACTGGCATTTGCTGGACCCCACAGTCCCACTGTGCACAAACCTATATATACATATAGGTTTGTGCACATGCATATATATATATATATATATATATATATATATATATATATATATATATAGGTTTATGCACAGTGGGACTGTACACTGTGTATATATATATATATATATATATATATATATATATATATATATATATGTTTGTGCACTATACCACTATACTACACATATATTGCGCACTATACCACTATACTACATATATATATATATATATATATATATATATATACACAGTCAGTCCATAAATATTGGAACATCAATGCAAATATAATCTTTTTGGCTCTATACACCACCACAATGGATTTGAAATGAAATGAACAAGATGTGCTTTAACTGCAGACTTTCAGCTTTAATTTGAGGGTATTTACATCCAAATCAGGTGAACGGTGTAGGAATTACAACAGATTGTACATGTGCCTCCCACTTTTCAAGGGACCAAAAGTAATGGGACAATTGGCTGCTCAGCTGTTCCATGGCCTGGTGTGTTTTTCCCTCATTATCCCATTTACAAGGAGCAGATAAAAGGTCCAGAGTTCATTTCAAGTGTACTATTTGCATTTGGAATCTGTTGCTGTCAACTCTCAATATGAGATCCAAAGAGCTGTCACTATCAATGAAGCAAGTCATCATTAGGCTGAAAAAACAAAACAAACCCATCAGAGAGATAGCAAAAACATTAGGTGTGGCCAAATCAACTGTTTGGAACATCCTTAAAAAAAAGAACGCACCGGTGAGCTCAGCAACACTAAAAGACCCGGAAGACCACAAAAAACAACTGTGGTGGATGACCGAAGAATTCTTTCCCTGGTGAAGAAAACACCCTTCACAACAGTTGGCCAGATCAAGAACACTCTCCAGGAGGTAGGTTTATGTGTGACAAAGTCAACAATCAAGAGAAGACTTCACCAGAGTGAATACAGAGGGTTCACCACAAGATGTAAACCATTGGTGAGCCTCAAAAACAGGAAGGCCAGACTAGAGTTTGCCAAACAACATCTAAAAAAGCCTTCACAGTTCTGGAACAATATCCTATGGACAGATGAGACCAAGATCAGCTTGTACCAGAGTGATGGGAAGAGAAGAGTATGGAGAAGGAAAGGAACTGCTCATGATCCAAAGCATACCACCTCATCAGTGAAGTGGTGGTGGTAGTGTCATGGCAAGGGCATGTATGGCTGCCAATGGAACTGGTTCTCTTGTATTTATTGATGATGTGACTGCTGACAAAAGCAGCAGGATGAATTCTGAAGTATTTCAGGCAATATTATCTGCTCATATTCAGCCAAATGCTTCAGAACTCATTGGACGGCGCTTCACAGTGCAGGTGGACAATGACTCAAAGCATACTGTAAAAGCAGCCAAAGAGTTTTTTTAAGGGAAAGAAGTGGAATGTTTTGCAATGGCCAAGTCAATCACCTGACCTGAATCCGATTGAGCATGCATTTCACTTGATGAAGACAAAACTGAAGGGAAAATGCCCCAAGAACAAGCAGGAACTGAAGACAGTTGCAGTAGAGGCTTGGTAGAGCACCACCAGGGATGGAACCCAGTGTCTGGTGATGTCTATGCGTTCCAGACTTCAGGCTGTAATTGACTGCAAAGGATTTGCAACCATGTATTAAAAAGTGAAAGTTTGATTTATGACTGGTAATCTGTCCCATTACTCTGAAACTGCTATGTTTATGAAAAAATGGGTTAACCCTAGCTGGACCTGGCACCCAGACCACTTCATTAAGCTGAAGTGGTCTGGGTGGCTAGAGTGGTCCTTTAAAGCTGAAAGTCTGCAGTTTAAGCACATCTTGTTTGTTTCATTTCAAACCCATTGTGTTGGTGTATAGAGCCAAAAAGATTAGAATTGTGTTGATGTCCCAATATTTATGGACCTGACTGTATATATAAAGTTCCAATTGCTTGCACTCCTGGATTAATAATAAAAAGCCCGGTGCTTAACAGCCAAATAATAGAAATAAAGTTGATAGATGATCCTGATGAAAGTTTCTTAGAGAACTGAAACGTTGATCTTCTGTGGCAGATGCCTGAATAAAAAGCTAAGTTTTTGTCCTTGGAGTGCTATCATTACTTTATATCTATATATATCTATATATATATATATATATATATATATAGATATATATATATATGCATCAGTGGTCTCCAGTTGCCTGTATAGTGCATAGGGGACACAGCAAATGCCATTTTCTCTTTCCAGCAGCCAACACATTGCCACTGGACCAGCAGGGAATGTAATCTCTCCCTCCCTGGACAGGTAAGAAGCATGGAGGGGAGAATAAAGCTAAATTTATGAAAGTAAATGTTAAAAAAAAACCTCCACAACCACAATATCTAATACAAATGGGGCTACCAAACTAAGCTGCTGATTTGGAAGCAAGGCAAAACATATGTGATCAACGACTCCGAAGAAGGACTTAAGAAGCTCACTGAATGGGGGCTGTGGAACACTGCTTCTTCCCCAAAACTTCCATATATGATCAAGTGGGACGAGGATCTGGGGTTATCCATACCTATCACAAGATGGACAACAGCCATTCATCAAACAAAACTATCCTCCTGCTGAGTCTCCCACTGGAAGGCTTTCTTTAAAGTTATAATGCACTGGTATCTCGTTCCTAGCAGACTCTCTCAAATGTATAGCCCAGTTAGCCCAATATGCTGGAGGTGCAACGAAGAGAGAGGTACTTTAAAGCATGTGTTTTGGGACTGTAAATATCTGGAAGATTTTTGCTGAAGGAAATCACAGATAAAGATATTCCATTTACACCAGATTATTATTTGTTGCATCTTATCCCAGATCTAGAACTACTACAATCACGAGCATCCCTCTTAAAATATCATATTAGCAGCAAAAGTTAGTATTGCTCTCCATAGGAAGATATTGGGTTGAAACCACCTTCCAATAGGAAAAAGAAAAAATTGTGGTCCAAATGTTGTAATTCACAAAAACGATTTATGAAACACTGGATTGGCTGGAAACATACTTATGATCAATATGTCAACTGAAAGAGACATGCAATAGAAGCTTTACTTCTTTAGCTAATCATTTTATTTTCTTCTTTTCTCACCTTACATCTCTTTCCTTTCTTCATGTCATTCACTAATCCCTTCTTACCCCTTTCCACAATCATACACAACTTCCAAGCTCTGGTGCATTGTGTTATAATGCACTGTCCGAGTCAAGGACCCTCAACCCAGCAGACTCCTACGAATAATGATATGGGATCTAGTCCCCAATCACAAACATACATATGTACATAACGTTGGAATCGATCGCATGAATGATACCTAATGACAATGCAACTGGTACACAACCCCATGATGGTGTTATATTATGAGTCCTGACATGAAAGTATTGTTTGCTCATTTAGTAATTATTCAGTAATTGATTACTCACACATCAACATTCAAGATTCTGTGGTTGTTGAAAATAAGCTTGTATGCTTAACTGAGTCGATGCAGCATTTTCTAGCATTTTATAAAACTGTATTGTCCGTTATCTGTTTGAATGACCTATAAAGATATGCAAAATTATTTAAACACTGTATATATTACTATAAAAATACTATGTGCATTACGAACAAACAGATGCACTTGGAATGTTAGCATGAAACACCTTCAACCATGAACCATGCAACTTGTATCTTGTATGTATGTATGATTTACTCATTTCATTATCTATTCTGCTAAAATCAAGAAAAACTATATATTGAAAAAAAATTAAATAAATGTTAACCCCCCCAACATTTCTGTTCCCACTGAATGCAGACCCTATTTTTAAACAATATTTACATGCACTACATCCACTACACAAACACACACTGCATCCACTGCACAAACATACTCTGCATTCACTATACACATAACATCTACTACACAAACACATACTCTGTATTCACTATACACACCACATCCATTACATAAACACACATTCTGAATCCACTACACACACTACATCCATTACAGAAACATATGATCTACATCCACTATACACACTGCCACATTCATTACCCACACACACTGCATCCTTGTGGGATGGACCATATGGGCGGACTCGAGGGCGGGCTCCTCGGAACCATACCTTGAGCTGTGTTAGTAATTTCTGATGACAGCCCTGATGTGGGTCATATTGACCCCAGATAGGGCTAGGATGATGGGGTATGGGGGCATTAAGGAAGCTGCTTTAATTTTTATGTTACAAGGAGGGAGCAGCAAGGCTGTAGCTTCCTTTTTGTTACTAAAATAAATTAAAGAAAGACCAAATTGCATGGATAAAACCTAACACAAAAAAAATGTTTTCTTAATTTCTTTTGTTGTAATTTGCATTAGTCTATTCGTCTTTTGAAGAATGGACGAATTGTCAAAAATTCAGATGAAACACAAATACCTGCGTCTCATAAAAACCAGACTCACTATGAAATTATTGATCTTTTTCAATTTTGAAAGCCTTTTATATCCATAGATCTATAATTCTATAATTTGCAATGGGCATGAGTGATCAATGCATAATTTAATTTCTAGACTTCATTATCAAAGTAGTAATACACTAATACATAATGTATTTAAGTCCTTTCTGGACATTAGATTCATGGTACAAGAAGGTTGTTATTACTGTTTAGTAATTGAGATAATTAGGTGAGGTAAGGGTATCCCCCATCCTCTAAGAGAGGATTGGGTAGGAAACAAAAGATTAAAACCCAAAGGTCTTACATTTGCTCCTAATAAACCTTTTAACCATTTTAAATGTTTTACATATATGCAAACATTTAGTAGAGATCTAGCTCTTCAGAAATATTTTTTAAACAATTAAAATTGACTCTAGTTATTAATAATGATGGTTTCTGGAATACAATCCTACACAATAAATCTATTTTTTATCCCCAGACATATAGACATGTTGTTATATAATTTTTGTAAAAACCATCATTAAAAAGTTTAAAGGGACACAATAGGCACCCACACCACTTCAGCTTAATGAAGTGGTCTGGGTTCAGTGTCCCTATTGCACTTAGTACTGCAAAGTAAAACATTGCAATTTTAGAGAAAATTACAAATTGTAGATGAAAATAGTTGAA